AAGGCTAATATATCTTTTAAGTGCTTGCCTTTCACATTGTTTTCCCCCTGAATAATTTTTGTCCCAAAAAGGTTGCTGTCACTGACCTACAGAATAAAGATGATGTTTATCATCCTGATATTTGAGAGGAGCTGGCTATACAGAAATGATAGCTGATGCTCGGGAATGGGTGAAATACCCCAGGGAGGGAGTTTAGAATTAGAGAAGGTGCTAAGTTTAATGTTAGCTGTAGGGTTTTTTTGTTTGTTTGTTTTTGTTGTTTATTTTTGGTAGATGCCTTTTATCAGGTTAAGGAAGTTTGCTGAAAAATGTTTTAATCAGGAATGGATGTAGAAGTTTGCTAAATGCTTTTTCTGCATCTATTGAGAAAAAAAAATAGTTACTAGGTTGGATTACATTGATTGATTTTCAGATGTTAAAACAACTTGCATTCCTGGGATAAATCCCCATTTAGTCAGATGTTTTACCTATTTTATATATTACTGAATTCCATATGCTAAAATTTTGTTAGTATTTTTTGTGTCTGTGCTCATGAGTGATATTAGCCTAATTTTCTTTTCTATGATATATTAATCTGGTTTTGTTATATCAGGATAATGCTGGCAGCAAAAGACAAATGGGGAAGTGTTCTCTTCTGTTTTCTGGAAGAGTTTGTGTAGAATTGGTATTACATCTTCCTTAAATTTTTGGTAGAACATCTGGACTTGGAAATTTTTTTTTGTTGGGGGGAGGAAGACGTTTTAAGTACAGATTCATTTAGGAGGTTCAGTTTTTTGATGACATACTGCCTGCCGTCTTACCAGTGCCTCACGAGCGTCACCTCCCTCTTCCCGTAGCTGCCCTGCCCACTTCCCTCAGGTAGCAGTAGGCGGCCTGAGGCAGGTTCCTGGCGCCCGCCCACAGTCGGAGGCGGGGGCGTGGCGGAAGCAGGCCACAGTGGGACGTCCCGCAAACCCTCGGTGCATATGTGAAGGCCCCGCCCACAGCTATAGCGATCCGAGCCGCAGCAGCTCCCCTCAATTCAATTTCATGAATAGATATTAGAACTTTCATAATTTGTATCCTTCAAAGAATTTGCTTGTTGCATAAGTTGTTGACTATAGCAGCATAAAGTGTAATATTCTCATTATCCTTTTAATATTTGTAGCATCTGTAGTGATGTCATCTCTTGTTTCTGTTCTGGGAATTTGTGTCTTTTTCCTGATCAGTTTGTCTAAAGGTTCATCAATTTTATTGATTTTTTTTTTTTTTTTACCAAAAACCAGCTTCAATGATTTTCTCTATTTTTGTTTTCTATTAATTTCAACTCTTGTTCTTTTTATTTATTTTCTTCAGGTTATTTTGGGTTTGATTTGATTTTCCTTTTCTGTTTGTTTGTTTTTATGGTAGAAACCTAAGTCATTGATTTTAGACTTTTCTAATATAAGCAGTTATTACTTAGAGAGCTGTATTCCAGCCTCATGCAGTGCCCAGAGTTAGGGGCCTGGAAGCAGAATAGAGGTGTGGGTGAGAGGCCACACACAGCAAGGGAAAGACACTGGCCCAGGAGCCAGAGACCGTGTTTTCCCTAGCCGCTCACTAGCTGTGTGACTTTGGACTTAGTTTCTTTGCTGGCATAATGGAGTCAGGAATAATCTCTTCTTGGGTTCTTGGAAGTGAAGTAGTTGATGAATAGGAAAGCACTTGGCCACTTAGCAGAGCCTCCCCAGACCAATGTGAAAGGTGGTTGTCATGGCATTTGTAATAATAATGGCTTCTTCTGTCTTTCCAGATCCAGAAACAGCATGTACACACCCATCCCCAAGAGGTAGGCTGCGTACCCCATCCTCTTTAACCCCTCCCCTCCTTCATTTCCAAGGACTGCCCTTCATTCCAGCGACCCTCCTCGCCACACCCCAGTCCCCAGGTCTTCCCAGGCCTCTCTGCTTAGGGCCACTCCTCTGAGGCTCTGGCACTGCCAACCCTGTCCCCTCCTGCAGCAGCTCTCCATTCCTGGCCTCAGTGCAAGACCCCGGCCTGCATGTGTGGCGGGTGGAGAAGCTGAAGCCAGTGCCGGTGGCCAGGGAGAACCAGGGTGTCTTCTTCTCGGGGGACTCCTACCTAGTGCTGCATAATGGCCCAGAAGAGCTCTCCCACCTGCACCTGTGGATAGGTAAGCGGCTGGGGGACACTAAGGGGACTGGGGCCCTGGGGCTGGCCTGAGTCTCACAGGCCTGGTCCTGCCCCCTCCCACTGCCCCAGGCCAGCAGTCATCCCGGGATGAGCAGGGCGCCTGCGCCGTGCTGGCCGTGCACCTCAACACCCTGCTTGGGGAGAGGCCTGTGCAGCACCGAGAGGTGCAGGGCAACGAGTCTGACCTCTTCATGAGCTACTTCCCGAGGGGCCTCAAATACCAGGTCAGCCCGCCATGCAACTTTTCTCAGAGCCTGCCTCCCTTCCAGCTGCCTTTTACCCTGCAAAAGGCCCAGGTGCTCTCGGGGCTGGGTCCTCCCCACCTTTCTGCCCGTCTCCCAGTGGGATGGGGTATGGAGGGCCCTGGGCCTCCTGCCAGCCCACTCAGGCTGGCCATCTGGGCTGCAGGAAGGCGGAGTGGAGTCAGCATTTCACAAGACCTCCCCAGGGGCCACCCCAGCTGCCGTCAGGAAACTGTACCAGGTGAAGGGGAAGAAGAACATCCGCGCCACCGAGCGGCCGCTGAGCTGGGACAGCTTCAACACTGGGGACTGCTTCATCCTGGACCTGGGCCAGGTAGGTAGGCAGGGCAGGATGGAGTACTCTGTGTTGGCACTGTCTTTTAAAAGGGCAGGACCAGGAGGCCAGGGAATAGCGAGAGAACCTGAGACGCTATCACTCCATTCCAAGTGGGACCGCTCCAGCCATTAGAAACATCCCTATATTCAGAAGAATAGAAATATCCCTCTGCTGGCTAGAGCCATTGTAGCTGTGAGTTAGCTGCCTGCCAGACCATTTGTTGATTTATTCCCTCATCCATTCACCCAGTGAATCTGTGATGCCTGCTCTGAGCCAGCACAAGGACCACGTATTGCTTGCCCTGGGAAGGCAGCAAGATGATGTGACCTGTCACNATCCAGGCTCCACCCTAGAGAGTCTGATTTTAACTGGTCTGCTATGTGGCCTGGGCATTGGGATTTTTTTTACAGCCCCCCCCCCCCCCCCCCGATGATTCTAATGTGCAGGCAAGTGTGAGACCCTGTTCTGGACAGTTAACTGGCAGCATCGAATCACCTGGAACATACAAAGTTCGGACAATTAAGTTCAGAAACTTGTTACAATGATATTGCTAACCTTTTTTGATATCAGAGGGATTATTCATTAAGAATTTATACCAATTGCACAGTTAACCATTGGAAGTGCCGAAAAGGCTGCGTGTGAAAAAGTTAGACGACCTGAACTTTTCATCAACAATTCATGGCTCTTGCATCATGACAATGCACCAGCTCACACAGCACTGTCTGTGAGGGAGGTTTTAGCCAGTAAACAAATAACTATTAGAACACCCTCCCTATTCACCTGATCTGGCCCCCAATGACTCCTTTCTTTACCCAAAGATAAAGGAAATATTGAAAGGAAAACATTTTGATGACATTCAGGACATCAAGGGCAGTACGACGACAGCTCTGATGGCCATTCCAAAGAGGCGTTCCAAAATTGCTTTGAAGGGTGGACTAGGCACTGGCATCAGTGCATAGCTTCCCAAGGGGAGCACTTTGAAGGTGACTGTAGTGATATTCAGCAATGAGGTATGTAGCACTTTTTCTAGGATGAGTTCACGAACTTAATTGTCCGACCGCATATGTTCAAAGTGCTGACACACAGGCTTCCCTCTGGACCCCTGGAATCCAGATCTCCAGGATGGGGTTTGGACATCCATGTTTTTATAAAATCCTGAGGAAATTCTAACAGGCAGACAGGGTATAGAGTTAGGGTAATGAAGGAGCAGGCAGCCAAACCCCTGTCATCAAAACTCTGCAGTGGCTCTCGTAGGCTTGGAGCTCCGGCGTGTAGGTGGTCTGCTTTTGAGTTACAGCCTGAGCACTCAAGTCAGTAACACAGAATGACAAAATAGTAAAGCTGACAATTGGCCCTCTTGTTTACACCATCTGTGTTCCTG